ATCTTGTTCCGTTCCTCTTCGTCTGCTTGCTCAAATCTTGTGCTGTGACATATGGAGAAGACTAAGTGGTAATTTCTTGTCAAAGCGGTTTGTACGAAGTATTATGTGTGGATTATTGTAAAACTTTGTGTTCATTTTAAGGCCTTTCACACATTTTTTGCCAGGGGTGTCGATCATTTTAGAGGTTGTTGTTTATTATGCTGCCGTTTCTTCGCTTTTTGCGGCGTTGTAGCTGAACGAAAACACTTCTTTTTTTTTCCTTTTTTCCAGCATCATGACAATCAGCAGCAGCTTAATCTACAGCCACGTTACTGACGCCTCATTAACAATGTTTACTTCCGTAATCAGTCCTTTCTGCCAGTTAGTTTACGGATCAATTCGTTACAGTTTGCATGAAATGTTACAGTTAGGTTCAATGTGATCACATGAACTTAAAAATGCCCAAAGTAACATATTTAAAGTGCTTCTGTGGATTGCATTTCAAACCTAAGTATGTGCTAGAATTGATAACTTTAGATTTTTTCATACCAAGGCTACTTCTTTTATTCGCTCGCTTTCTTTTCCAAAAAAATATTTTCAAAAAGTGACTTTTATTTCAATCCTCCCTTCTGTGAGTACTACGACGTAGTGTTAGGGTCAGACTATGACAGTTTTGATTAAATTATGAAGACATGATCATAATATTAGCAGGAAAAAAGACGCACTTAGTAGAAAAAATGTCTTTAAATTACAACAAAAGTTCATTTATTGTCAAAAAAAATCAGACAGGACTCGATCAATTCACGTGATTCTCTCTCTGAAATAGACAGTTGTTTGTACAATCGTTTAAAATGATAATAATTTGATACTTATTTGCAAAAAGATTCAGTATTAGTATTTTTTTTCTTGTGTGAGTTCACACAACTTTATTCTCCTTTTATTAAACTTTATTTGTGTATTAGTGTGACTTTAATCTCATAATTAAAATAAATACATAAATAAAACAAACCCTGGTCCTAACATTTGTTGTAGAGTTGACCTGAATTCAAAGTCCAGATAAGTGGCTGTAAAACACGCTTGTGAAACAAGATGGCTGCCCAGAAACTATGGTAACCCAAAGAATTCACTGGTGGGGAAAAAAACAAAAAAAACAAAAACAAAAAAAAACTGATTTTCCTTGAATCTGTTTTTTTTAATCAAAATATATATTGATAAATTGATCAAATCGATTTATCACTCTGTCCTTATTTCCCGTTATTAAACCAAGGGATGAATTCATTGCTTCAGCATTTCTTCCAGCAGAAGTACGACATTCATGTAAGACTCACTCAGTAGAGTATTACTGCTCACCTCGGCCTATTCTCGGAAAAGAGACATTTGCGAGGCTGAAAATTAAATGTCGCTGTAGTTATAGAAATGCCACAATCCGTTTCTCCGGTATCACTTTGTCATTCAAGCGGTGACTAAGAGGCCGACTCTGCTGGAGAACCTGACCCTCATTTTATGGGATCGTAAGTTTAATATTTGATGGCCGAGCACACGTTATAAAACAGGGACCTTTCTCTCTTCGAATAGCTTCAGTGTAACTAATCACCATCTCGATAAGGCAGGATTATTATTTATGCAACAGGTCAGGGCATTGATTTATGATACGAGGGGGGAAGGGAGAGGAGAGAGAAAGAGACGGTCTTTGCTGGTGCATTAGTGTCGAAGGTAAAAAAGAAAAGCATCTTTTGTGTCCATTTCTTTTAAAAGGCCGTCCTTCCAGAAACTCTGTTTATGGTAGTGAAAGCCGCGGCTGTGACGACGAGAACTAACCGTGAAAGCAGAGGAGTGGGCTCAGGGACCGGCTGACGATAATGTCAGGTTGTGGGGAGGGAAGGAAAAAAAAAAAAAAAAGAAAAAAAAAACATGCTGGTTTATCAACACTCTAAACACCTCAGACTGATTCATGACTGGTTTCAAGTGGAAGGTTGCTTCTCCGTTTCTGTGAGAGCGGATCACACGAAGGCGTGGGCGTCGGGTTGTTAGCAGTCAAGCCTCGAGGGCGGAGGGGAGTCACATTTAAATGTTCGCACGGGCTAATAGGCATGATGATTTACAATTACATTTCCATGATGCGAGCCTCCGAGGACACACGCACGGTGCGATGAACCGTCTACATCTAACTGTGTGATGAGTAGATGAACGGGTGTCTCGCTCGCTTTCGTTCTAAAGTTTTTAATCTCGTTTTGACTTCAAGAGAAAGTATTTTTTAATGAAAGCATTCACAAATCATTCCATAAAGAGGTTGTTGCTCCACACTGCTGGTCAGCTGGATGATTTGAGACTATTTTGGACCTTCTTGTCTTTCATAAGTTCAGCTTTTTGGAAGCTGAATTCATGATGGTCAGGGAGTAGAAGTTAAAGGATTGCGTCCGAGCCACGAATAAAAAATATGTCGTTATTTGTGCAATGCTTTTGTCTTTAATTTTGTAAAATTTAGCAAGTGAGGTTAACAGTAGTTTAGGTCAGCTTTATTGTGAAATTTTGTTTTTTATTTTGAAAAGCATACTTCCTGTTGAGCCTTACGCTACATTAGAAAAAACAAGACGGCAGAAGGACGGAGCAATAACCAAATAAAAGAGAACATGACGTGATTTTGGAACGCCATTTTTTGTTTTTGCATTTTCCTACATATAGATTTTTTGTTAAATTTATGGTTTTGCACGCGTTGTTTACTTTTTTACAAGAGTGCCTATTGAATGACTGATATTGGATCTGTTGCCATAACAGATTATCATAAAAGTGACACTGTTTCAACACATTCAGCGAGACACAAGCCACAAAAAGTCGAATGCAAGGTCTACTTGAGCAAACGGCACGACCAAATCCCGTTCTTGTCTTGCCTAATTTTAATCAATAAAAAGTAAAACGAGAAAAGATTTTTTTGTTTTTTTCAGGAAATTCTCATTGTAAATTTAATGCATGTTTACGTTATTTTCTTAATTCCGTCTTTCAAAATGAAATGTTCAAAAGAAGGAAATGTTGTAGACAAAAAATATCAATAATCAATGTGTTGAATAATTTTAGTCCCAATAGTAATGAAAACAATTAAATCACGTTTTACAATTTTTAATAAAAAAATTCTGATTATCCTCAACATCACACTGTTCTCTCTCCAGCCCAAGCCTGAAATATGTTGCGACTTTTAAGATTTAATTCCCCATAAGCCTTCAGGTAAATACGATTGCTCACAGTTATTATTAATACGAATGTCAATAATTGACATTATTGTGCTTTACTTTATATGCTTCTGATACTGTGCCAAATAAAAATGTAATCTCAAACTAAGCCAGGCTGCCACAGATTACTTGAACTTCTTGACAAATTCATATGTCCACCAAAATATTGATTGTTTTAAAAAAAAATACATATGCTGTACATAAGACAAAACTGCTGAAATTCTGCAGAGAATGCCAATAAAAACGTTATCTAAATTCATGCTATGCTATGCATTTGCTCTGTCTGCATCAATGAAAGTTAACTTAACTCAGCATGCCGAATGCTTAAAGCGACTCCGACTAACATCAGCACCACCTAATTTATCAATAATAAAGCAAATAGTAATATGACCGATTATTTGGCCACTGTGTGTACAGTAACAAACATTTATCCCCAGATGACAATCATCAATTATAGAAACATACTGTAACAGAAGGATACTCTGTCCTGACACAGTAGCACAGCATTAAATATGTCACCTTTGACCCCAATAAACAGACAGTATATAAAATGGGTTAAGACTGTCCTGCTACGCATATGCGGAAGAGCTTAATGTTTTAACAACATTTGTTGTGTATCTTTGTATTTTGTATTTATGGTTTTGCATGCGTTGTTTGTAAACAACTTTTATTTACTTTTAAAATGTAAATGTAAAATGCATTTTCAGATACGGTAAGATGTGTGGCGAATTGAAAAACAATGTGAAAGCAACGTATGGTACACCACCGAGGCAACAACAAAGAAAGTTGAAAGAAACCATGAATGTAAATAAAAATTATAACAACTTTTTAATTGTTGCAGAATAGAAAAACTGAAAATGTAACTATACTCTCACTATAGTGCTGTTGTTGTTTTTATAAGAATAAAATATCGAATAGTAATCTTTATGGATGATAAAAATTACAGACGTGATCGATTTAATATTTTATCCTCATTCCTCTCAACTAAAATTATTTATGAGTACAATAAGTGACTCAGCTGAGGACACTTACAGGCAGACTGATTTTGGCAAGCCTAAGGATTTCCACATTAGATAAATACTTCTGAGGTTTAGCGAACTTAAGCTCATATAAAACCCAGCTTTACAGATGCGAGTGGTGGTGAGGAAACTTTCCAGCTTTACTGTATTTCTATCTTCCATTTCACTTTTTTCATCCCACTGTTTTAACAAAACCATCTCATCTTTTGGTTTTGCCAAACCAAAAGACCAACCAAAACATCCATGACTGTTTTGATGAAGGTTCCCCTCTATATGACACTCCTGATTATTTAAAAACTAATTAAAATCCAGTTCCTCTTATGATTATAACTGAACACAGCTCAACAAAACACAAGCAAATACACGAGTTCCCAAAGGTCACATGACTAATATCTGACTGAAAACAATCAGCATCTGGATCTTAGTGCGGTGTTTGAAAATCTGACTAACATAGGCCCTGTTCAGCTTTGACCCTATTCTTCTTTTTTTTAACAAGGTAACAACAAAGAAAAACAAATTCACACTCACATTTACCACCAGATATTCACACTTCCTTTTGCCAAAATAGCTTGAAATAAAGTGGAAAACCATCAAAAAGAACAAATCCAAATGCATGGACACAGTCGTATAAGGAGCCTGATTTCAAAACAGACATTTAAAGCCTAAATGTCTGACACACACACACACACACACACACACACACACACACACACACACACACACACACACACACACACACAGAGAGAGAGAGAGAGAGATACAAACAGTTAGTTTTTACCTTGGCACTGGAATCCTTGCTTTCCAAACCCCCTGTGAAAAAGAGAGGAGACTGATTTGAATGGCTCTTACTGTTTAAAACACACTGAATAACGTATTCATTCACACATGGACCCATTCACACCACATTCATTCCAAGGACACAGCTGTTAATCATGAGCTTTGCACAAGTTTGATGGTTTTTTTACAGTTTCATCTTGAGAAATTTGGAAAAGTGAATAAAAATCTGATTTGAGTAATTCAATTTGAACAGTGAAACTTATATTATACATCTATATATATATATATATATATATATATATATATATATATATATATATATATATATATACTAACTATTTCTGTTCATTTCGATGATTGTGGCTTATAACTAATTCAGCTTCTCATAGAATTAAAATATTACACAAGGCCATTTTATATGTTAACTACTTTGATGTTATAATTGTACATGTATGAATCAATATGCTAGGTTGCTAATGTTATACTAAGTGTGTGTACTTGTTTTATGGAAATAAATGTTTATTATTATTATTACTATGTGAACCACAGGAAGAGCAGCAATTGTCGCAGCAAAAGCTAACGGGGATTCAAATTAACAAACTTTATCTTTTTTAAGCAAAAGTTTTATTTCATGACCAACGTGTGGAAAACTGCTGATTTGATCGTTGTCTGGCAAAGAGTCGCTGATTCCATTTACACAGAGGGTAAGTTTAAAAAAGGTTGTTGCTAAAGATGATGGATGTTCACACTGCACACATACGTATACATAAGGAAAGTTAAGTGGAAGAAAAAAAGCATGCCATTCAGAGGACTGAGCAGCAACAATAAAGAACTGGACTGGTGCACAGTGACCCAAAATCATTCCCCCCCCCCCAACAGTATTTGGAACATGCCCACACTGATAAAAATATGTCTACCTGGTTTAATGATTATTGCATCACTGTCTTTGACTGATCAGCAAACTGGCCTGACCTAAAACGTATAAAAAAAATATTTGGGCTGTGTGAATAGGACGTTCAGAGACAAAGACTCAACAATGCTAATTAATTAGCAGAGCCACAGGCTGATTCGCTCCATGCTGCACTAATGCAGTGATTCATGGCTGAAATTTCTATATATATTGATTTCATGAATCTCCCCTAAGCTCTGGAGTGATCTTTGCTTCACATTCTTTTCTCTGAATCTAACTTTTTTTTTTTAACCAGGCTTTTTTCTTCCACTCAACTTTCCATTAAAATGCATGAAAGCACTCTAAACAGCCATCTTCGTTAACAATGACTCTTTGCAGCTCCAGCAGGCAGGGACATAGAGACTGTCAGCTGGACAAATGCCACATCAGCAACCTTCCATATTATGAGGCGGCTCATCACATAACACTTCTGCATTAAAAATAAAAACTTTTTTATTATTATTTCATGCAAAATTACGATGTTCTGTTAAATTACAAATTTGGGTTCTTGTTAGCTGTGAGGTATAATTGTGAAAACTAAGAGAAATAAAACACTGAAAATCACCGCTGTGTTTATCAACGTCTAAAAATGTGACTTTTCTGAACTAAATTACAGAAATAAATCAACATATTTACTATCCTGATTTACTTCGATGCACCATTATGTTGTATTAAAAGCATTAGCTGACTCGCTCCTTGAGTTAATAACAATCAACAATACAGCAGAAGAAAAAGTCAAGTCTGTCCAGAGAGACATCGCTTCTCAAAACGTTACGGCATAAACACCAAATCCAAAAGCTTTCTGGGATTTTTTTATTTTTTATGATCATATTTAATAATTACACTGTTAAAACAATAACTAAATGCATATAGCTTGTAATTAGTTGTCCTACAATCACATAAAGACATGTAGGTGCATGTCTGCACAGGCTTCCTGGCCCGCTTCTTCCCTCCGTTTGTGTGTTCAAACACAGTGTGTGTGTGTGTGTGTGTGTGTGTGTGTGCGCGTGTACGTGTGTGACGCGATGGGAGCTTTCCTTTTCAAAATATAGTTGTTTGATTTCACATTTTGAATCATATCGCCTGCATGCTGAACTCAAAAGGAGTGGCACATGTATGCTTGCCAACAACACAATGCATTAAAGGCATGAGATTACACACACACACACACACACTAAAGAACATAGTACTTTAAACGTGGGCGTGCCTTCAGCAGCATACACATTTTTTTTTAAAAAGTGCTTAACTGAGAACCCAAAGTGATTTGTGTAGTTCAAGTGTTCCACTAAAAAGGCAGGAATTTTTAAACGTCCTGCCCTTTTCCAGAGTGTGCAACATGAGCACATGGAGCTTTTCACATGGACCTGATTCTACAAGTTCAAAAGAAAAAAAAAATGCTATTCAATATCAGCGGCTTCAGTGGTTACACTGTGTGCAATGCACGCGTGGAATGGCTGCAAGTTAGTCATCCTAAATGCTTGACCGAGACCAAAATCACAGGAGCTGCGTTGCGGTTGTTTGTTCAAGAATGAAGATAAGGAGGGGAGTGGAGTCTAATGCAAAGGAGACTTTCGTGAAGTCATTTTTGTTGCATGATTCCTGTAAAGAGAGAGAGAGACACGGGACCTAATCCGGCATAAATTCTAACTACATTTCAGTGACTATTTTCCCTCCCGTTTACTATTACTATTGTTTTCAACGAACCAGCAGCAACAACTCCTCCCATTCGATAGTAGGGCAAAAAATAAAAATAAATAAATAAATCACAAGCAATCCCCTAGCGCGTTGCAAAGTGTTTTTAAGGCGTGCGGGGAATGAGGGGTTGGAAAGATGTCGCGACCCCCCAGAAGTTACATCACACCGAGCAAAGAGAAGGACTCGACTGAAGTTATTCGATATATGTGCAACAGGCGGGGTGGAGGTGGGAGACGGAGCAGAGCGCTTACCAGATGAAGTCGGTGCAGTGGCTGCAGAAAGTCGGCTGCTTGAAGAACCTGGCGATGAATTTGTGGTCCTTCACTTCGTGGACGTTCTTTTGCCTCAGAGCACCTTTTCGAGCAAACCTGTTCGCTACGTCCGCGGTGAACGACTCGTTAAAACTTGCATCTGCCATCGCGTTCCTCCTCTCTCTCTCTCTATATATATATAAATATATATAAAACACAAATCAATGCAACAGCTTCCTGCTGTGTTCGGGCTCGTTCCTCAGTCCGAAGTGAACGGTCTGCGCTTGTCAGTGCCGAGCCAGAAAGCGAAGCGGCAGTCCTGACTGGAGACACTGGACCTACTGGGTCTGAGGGATTTCCCTGCCTGTCGCTGCTCCACTGACACTGACAGGTCGGCTCCGTCAAGGTGGCAGCAGTGAGAATCCCTGCTTCCTCTGACTCCTTTCAAATCAAAAGTACTTTTTTTTAAGTTAGAAGGAAGAAATTGGTTTCCCTAGTATTATTGGCAGTTTCAACAGGTTCCTATAATTAATATCGGATAAATGTAACCCTTTACATTTCCTGCCCCCAGGGGGCAACATCATAGGCCTGAGTCTGACATAGATGACATAATTTACACAAACAACTGCTAAATACAGAAAATGTTAATAGAAAGATTATTTTTACCATAATGTGGCGCAACTATGCATGGCATATAGTGCTATACACATTTTTTGCGCCACTGAGTGACGCCTTCAGGATGTTCTTCTTCTTCAGTTTCGTTAGCGGTTGGCGAAAAAATACGTTTACATAATCATTACCGCCACCAACCGGTCAGGTAAGGAATGTCCTCAATAAATATTCGGTGGCCAGATCAGTATGGAGCGTAAAGAGTGTCAAATAACAATAGATACACAACTTGTGAAATAATTATTTAAATGCGTCATATTTTTGATTTATAAAACTGGAAATAAATTGGGAAATATTTTATTAGTTATTTGTGCCTAGCTTAAATGTATTGATTTCGTTTTTTAAAAACTTATTTCATATGTTAATAAAATATTTTTGCGTTTCTATGCTGAAGCAAGTAATTTATTCATTTATGCTGTATGTGGGTGGGATTAGGGCTGTTTTGAGACCCTGAGGTCTGATTGGCTGCTTCAAACAGCATATCGAGGCAACTTCTTCCCTGTTTGCTAAGACTCTAAGGTTAAAATCTTTGCTGGAAGTGTGGAAGTAACTTCAGTAAATTCTTGTAATTTAACCAAATGAACGTCATTAAGGAAGGAACTTAGATCTTCAAAATGCTTATCTTTGAAATTGCCAAAAAAAACAAAAAAAAAAACAAGGATATATAAAACATTTGCTCTGACAGACAGGGTATTGGAGAAATCTTTTCAAACTTCTGGACCAGGGTACATGGTGGAAAAAATATAGTCATGTTTGGGCTTTAGGAACACTTGCAGTATTTAGGAAACAACTTTGCTGTTTATTGAGCAACAGACCAACCGGTTGTTGCTTGTTGCCTTTTCTCAGAGTTGTTCAACTCGACCTCCATTTCAGGTGGACTGAATGTGGTAAGAACTCACCGAATCTTATTTCTCTATTGCAAACACTTTCATGTTGTCACCACCATTAAAATACAACCATAAATCACCTGTGTTTACCTTGAAGACTTGTGAAATGTTTTCTTTCTGTTCAGCTGTTAAATTTGATCCTGTGAAAATGTATTGTTTAATGAGACGTTAAAATCTAATGCAGCATGATGTGTTTCAATGAATCCATATTTAAACACCTTTGATGTCTCTGTGTTAGCCTTCATCTCTGCAGTTTTTAATCTCCCTGCTTTGATTTAAAAACATCCTCTGAAGTACAAAACATGAAAGCACAACAAAGCAACCTTTGAAATCTAATCTAAATAAACCTTCTGAAAATCCACCTATTTACATATGAACTGAACAACTTCAGCTATTTTCTCGCCCTCTCTCAATTTTCACAAATGTCTGTTTTGCTTTGGGTTTTTTTCTTTTCGATTTATTTTGAAAAACCAATTTCCGGTCGTGGACTTGTGTACTTTTGCGTAACTTGACTCTTCCACGCTCCTCTTCCTCCTTTCTCGCTCCGGCTGATGTCACGCAACAGGATCCGCTGTGGGAGGGAAGAGGCCTTGGGTCCCGCTGGACGAACAGAGGCTGGAGGCGGCACCGTGTGGGAAAACATGGCGTTGCATATTCTTTCTGATACGCATGACATCAATAAGAAAATATCAAAGTTATTACGCAGGTTTGTTACATCTGTCCTGTGGGTAAGAACTCCTTTTGCTTTTCCCCACCATAACAGGAAATAGAACCCACCTCTTCTTTTTATTTTTATTTTTTTCTGTTTTTTATTACCGTGTGAAAAAGTGTTTGAAATATTTCTCTCTGCTTTTTCTGTTTTATGGAAACATAAAACGAGCATGATGCAATCACATTACCGCAACTATATGCCAGTCAAGTTACAGCACGGCTTTGAATACCGAAGGCTAATTTAAGATATGAGCTGATGCCAAAATGAAAGGAACGGAGCCGTGAGCTTTGACTTTGTAGCAAAGTAAACAGATCCCACGTACTTCACATAAGTGGAGTTCATGGTTCGGGCCTCGATTATAAAGACCCCGAATGTTTGCTTCCCTTAAACCTGAACCTTTGCAACAAACAAACATAAAAAAAAAACGTTCAACTAATGTTTCTGATCGAAAATTAGATGAGAAAATCTCTCAAAAGATGATGCAAATATGTTAAATGAAGGTGCTTCTGTTATAGATCACTTCGATTACACAAATAGTTAAGTACAGAAAATGCTGAGTAGAAAGAATTTTTACACTATCGATTTGGCGCCCCCTCTAGCAAAGCGCCCCTATTATCGTCCATACCCAATTTTCTTTTCTTTTGCTCCACTGGTTAATTGAGTAACAGAAAAAAAATATCTGTATTTATTTGCATCTTGGTATACATAACACAAGTTTATTAATACTGCTCTAAATAATTTGGGATTTTGAAATAAATATAAATACATTTGGATGTTTTTTTTCTCTCTCTCTCTCTTTCTCGTTTTTGCTAACAAGGTGAAATGTGCATTTCCCAAATGAACAAAAGCAGAAGCAAGAGAAGAAGTGCATTTTCTAACAGATTGATAAGTCGATCAATATTTTATACAAAACCCGTGGAGTGAGTTTCATAACAGCAGAAAAAGGATCTTTGATCTTTGTACCATACTGTTAACTAAGTTTTAACTTTAATTCAAATCAATTTTGCACAGCTTTTTTTTCTAAGCTTTATAGATTTTTTTTTTTTTTTTTTTTTCCCCCCCCAACATGCTGCACCAATAAACTCAGTTTGTGTTTCCTTTCAGTTACTGACTCGGATTCCCATAAAGTTCACTGACATAGAGAGTCCTCTCCCTTGTTTCACTGAAGACAAATATTTAGAAATGACACACAGAGCAAGACGGGGACAATCCAACGACCTTTAAAAACTTGTAGGGAAAGAAGTCAAATAAAAAAAATTTCCACGTTGCAGATCTGAGACTACGCAGACTATAACCAATAAACACCTCATGAAACATACACGTTGGATGACTTTTCAGTTTAACTCGTAGTTTTCACAGCAAAAGAAAAAAAACCTCCTTTTTTGTTTGCCATTTCTGCAGTGGAGTTATTTTTCTTTTGCACTTGATGAGATTTCACATAATTCTGTCTGTCTGCTGTTTGCTCTTCCACCAGATCGAGATTATCTATCAACATTTAGTCAAATAATTCTGTGTGCACGCCGCATGTGAACTTTGGGCTTAATCAATAGCAGTCTGAGGTTGCATCTGATTGGAGGAGGCCATCTCTGGAGTCAGAATCTAAAAGGCTCTCATCCAGTGGCTGCAGGTTGAAACGCAGAGCGGATTTCACCTCCAAAGAAGATGGCTCCCGCTTTGCTGCTTCTCAGCCTTGCGGCTGTATTTACAACCGTAGCTCCTGCAAAAGGTACATTTGCAAATTTGTGCCTTGGCTTAAGTTAAACTTCTTCTGCTTGACGTCACCTTCTTCCCTTTTTCTCCCACCAGTTTGCGGCCGGCCTCGTGTCTCTGATGGCGTTGATGTTTCCTCCATGAAGCGCGTGTTTGAGATCGGAGAAGACGTGACCCTCTCGTGCGAGCAGGGCTACTCGCCTTCAACGGCGACGCCTCCCAGGATAACCTGCACGGCGACAGGGGAATGGACGCCGGCCAACCTGGCATGTTCCCGTGAGTCGAGGCCGCAGCTTCTGTTTTTTTAAATCCTGCGGCTGCCATCTTGCAGAGTTTAAAAACGGCGAGCGGGAAGCGAATTGGTGAAGGCCAAATGCGGTTTTGTGTAATAATCAACAAAAAACAATCATGATGGAATTAAAAAAACTTGATGATGGTCTTTCAAGACAACTCATTGCTAAGGTCTAATAGATGTGCTGATCTTCTTTTCTACAGCCAGGATGTGCCAGATACCCAGGCCTTTGCAGCCATTTGCAAAAGGCAGGACAGAGGCTCCTTTTAAGAGTGTGCTCAACTTCTCATGTGATGATGGGTAAGAACATCAACATTTATATATAAATTCTCTGGGAGAATTATGATTTGCAGATTATTGCAGGAATACGTATTTGTCATTGTTCAGGTACGTCATGGTAGGAGCTAATGAAAGCAGGTGCTTACACGATGGCACCTGGAGTCATCCGCCTCCTCTCTGCAAAGGTAAAATAAGTTATCCAGACCCTGCCCACTTTGTTTGCACATTTAAAAAGGCCCAGATAGAACAAAGCGGTTTAACACGTTTCTATAAAACGATATGGAGCGTAACGGAGAAGCAGGGTTCGGTTTTTAATCCACCACAAATCTGGAACCAACTTCCAGAAAACTGCATGACTGCTGAAAAACTGAGTTCCTTTAGATCAAGGCTAAAAACCCCTACCTGTTTAGAGGTGACCTGATTCCAAGTAAGTGGAAAACTGAGCAACATTTTTGATGACGATTTTGACGTTGACGTTTAACAAAATGTAGCATTTATTGCTCGTTTCATAATTGTTTTTATGGTGTAAAGCACTCTGAGCTGCCCTATGGCTGGAATGTGTAACACAAATAAACTTGACTAATGACAAATGAATCAACTAATACTTTTTCACATTAAAAAAAATTATATCCAAGCATAATAGTGGAAAGTTGAGTGCCAGGAAAAAGTGTGGTAGAGTTAAGTTGCACAAACAAAAGTGACAACCACTGCCGTATGAAGAGTGTGAAGAAGTCCTCATTTAACAGTTTGTTGGATATTTACAAAGGTGTGAAAGTTCTGCTGGAGTCAGTGATTCTAAAGCAAACACACTCACAGATGTTTTCGAAGACATGGACTACA